AAATTCGCAGCGGGTAGTGTACAGCATCGATTTCTGTGGAACCCAGTAGCTGTCAAAACTTTCACATTTTTACGAATAACTCGGAAATCGTAAATATTTCAGGTAAAACGTTTGACACAAAATTAACTTAAATTTTGACGACAAATTTGAAAATGAATGAAAAAAGGGGCGGTTCCATTTAAAAAACCAAAGTTGGTGACTACCACACGTTTATGATACACCCCGTATAATGTAAAGTAATTTTAGAATGTGGACCTTTTAAACATGAAAAACTTTCGTAGGACGTATGTTCTTGTAAAGTTCATATTTACTGAGATATCGCACTTTGACGCACTAATGAGCAACCCTGTATATTATTCGTTTTGCTTCTCCACTCATTTTCTATATGCAGAAACTCGAGAAAACGAACTATTTCAAATGTATACAGGTACCAAACTCTGGGAACTGACAAGAAAGCAATGATTTTGATTGGCTGATGCTGTTCACGCAATGTGGCCAACGTTAGATAATACAAGTCGTCCCAGTTGACGAACCCGAGGCTCAATAGTTATTGTAATACACAAATAAACTCAACCGCCGGTTGAAAGTGAACCGAGGATTGGTCAGCTGGAGGTTCAACCCAGAACCAAGGGATATTTTCTTGTCTTTGGTTCAACCCTACCTTTATAATACCCGCCCTTAGAGTCATAAAGCAGACGTGGTTGGAGGAGTAGCCTTTCAAAAGACAGGATGTTTCAAGCTTTAATCTCGAACATTTAATGGGCAATATAACTCGCTAATATACACTTAACAGTTATTACAAACTTGCACAAGTCTGGTAGTCTTTTGTTAGAAGTGTGCATATGATTCGATACAGACCAGCAGACTTTCAAGAGAAAATTATGTTTTACGAAATATCTGGAAAATGATATGATGATTTTAGTGAAACTTGTTACAAAATTGTCCTAATATAACACTCGTATTTTAATGAAGGAACCGAATTCATCCGATTTGGGTAACTGGAAAATTTTTGAGTGTCTTAGTACAAAAACAGCCAGACCTTGTTTTTTCGTTACTGAAATCAACTAATTTTTGTTGAGTTGATCCACTGGTTGTTGCTTGGCATTTTTAGGCTCTTTAAATTTTGTAGCAATTAAAGTTTCTGCGCAGAAAATATTTCTGTTTTTTGGCAATTGCTAGAGCGGCCGTATTTTGGCAGCGTTTTTGTCCGAATTGCGTTCCGCAGAAATCCGAGGAAAACAGGTGAACAGAGACTGAGCTCTGCAGTTTCGTCAAAATACGGCCTTCACGCAAGAACAAATCCACAGCAAATTTTATTAAAAATAATGTTCGAAAACAATATTGGAAAAAAAATAAAACGTAATGTCTAAAATTGTTAATTTGGCAAGAAAACAGAAATAATATTTGCGTAAAAACTATTAATGTTAGAGGATTTTACTAAGAGCATAAAAATATCAAAAGGACATGCATCAACTAAAAAAAATCACCTGATTCCAGAAGCGAAATAAAAAGTTACACTAACACTAGAATAATTATTAATTTTTTAATTTGAGTTTCATTCCTTGTTGAAAGTGACCCACCTTAATAGAAAGTGTTAAAACAAAGAGATTCAAAATGATTTTGGAACACCCGCCCAAAATCAATTTTTCAAGTGGAAACTTCCTATTTTCATAATTTTATCTTCTATAGTATTGAAAATAGGGATAAGTTTGTGTAAGGAGATCTGGTCCTAAAGTGTTTAGTCATCAAAATGTCAAGGCTTTTATATGACTTTTTGTCGCGAATTTTAAAAATCAACCGCTCTTACTTGTTAGTAAGTTAACAATAGTAAATTAACAATTACAATAATTGAAGTTTGTCTATTTAAAATGAGCAGCAAAAAGCCATTTTTGCTAATAGGTAAGATAAACCTAAAAAATCAAAATTGGGGGTTTTGATGGGAAAAATATTTTTTATAACACTGTTTTAATACCACTCAAATTAACAATTAAATCACACAAATTTCCACATAAGAAAACTTAATAATTATTCTAGTGCTTGCAACTGTATTTTTTCACATAAAATTTCAAATATATCGAATACGGTTAGACTTAGGTATATGATATTATGCATAAAATAAATTTAGAATTTGGAGCAGAATTCAAAAATGTAATAACATACAGGGCGGTTCACTCAAAATTGATACCTACTCCAGTATTCAAAAACTTATTAAATTTGAAGACGTTCAACAGCAGAGCAACCAGGCATTTTTTAAGTAAAAGTTAAATCGATTGTCTTCTTTTGTGACAAGACAAAGAAGTGCTCTCTTGATCAAGTGCTTACGGGACACCCGGTATAATTAAACTCTTAAAACTTAAAAATACGAGCTCTTACGGTTTGGAAGATAGAAATAATGGACTTGAGCAAGGGGACGTTGTAGGTTTTTCTGCTCCTTAGGTATAACTAAGCGGCTTCTAAATCTGCTTGCTAATTCTAAGCAACTCATCAGTTCAGAGAACAAAGTTCAGAAATGTATGTCATGTGAATAGTTTAAGCTTATTAAAACATTAAAAATTAACTCACCAGAGCTTCCAAAGCAGTTAGCCGGTCTGCCATCAAGATCATGATTTCTGCAGATGATCGCAGAAATCCGAAATTTGGTATGAAAATTATTCTTCGTACTGTTCACGAACACAAGTTTACAAACAAAATTAGTGGATAAAACTTTACACATACTACCGCGTTATATACCAACTTTCAAAACTAGTAGAGTGCAGAAAATGGACATAATTCCCCTACAGAATTGTGCAGAGTGACGAGCAAATGCTCCAAACGAGTCATCTTACTCAGGTGGGAAGGATGGGACCTTTGAAATCGAGCAATAGATTAGATAGCAATACATAGAAATGACAATGCCTTTGAAGGAAACTGACCGTCGGACACATTTTCAGAACTAAGGCAGGACAGGATTATTTATTAGATTTTTAGAATTTACCTGGAAAAAGTTACCATAAGTAAAAATGTGTTTTAAATTCACAACTCGTCTGTCTATACTCCTAATACGTTTGAAAATATAGGTAAATGTTTCTCTGTAAAGTGTAAATGTTAACACAGTTGTAAGCTTGGTTACAGGCACGATAATGGTTTTTATTTTCCTGTAAAATTGTCCTTAGTAATTTTTCACCAGTCGTGCAACCGGTAGTTGTGTTTGTCTTCCGATTTTTTAGTCCGTTAGTGGCATGTTCCAATCTTCAAAAGTTTTGGTTGATGAAATTTATGTTGAATGTTCGAGATTTGTAAAAATTATACAGGGTTATTCACGCTATACGGCACGGAAGTTTGCGGCTAAACCATTTGATTTTTAAAAAGTATTATTTTATGAATTGTCCGACGCCTACCGAGCGCATATTTTAAACATATTTTCGTAATGTACAGGGTGTCCAAAGGCTCTAAAGGTATCAAAGTTGCGTTTTTTTAAATGTAATGTACTGTATATTATTGCATTTTTGGATTTGCTGAACAAAATAAGTGTCTGTTTAAATAAGGTTTATAATACCTAAATCTTAAGGTTTTTTAAATAATACGAATGTAATCAACATCTAATCTAATTTTCACGTGTCAAATACTTTGGAAGTATTTAAGTTATGTAAGCGTAATTTATAGTGAAGTGTAACAAGATATAATATTTTATATCCCAATGATGATAAACTTACCATGTTATACAGGGTGTCCACAAATTTAAACTAATCAAATAAGAACTTTAAGTGGCTCTAACTTGATTAATTTAAATACAACCCCATATTTTTTAAATTACCAGGAAATGCTATTTTTAATTACCTATCGAATGGTATTAGGATGTTAATAGCTAAGTTTTTGCCTTTTTACAAAATACGTCAAATAGTTAAGGTTCCAATGTATCTAAGTTGGCTATGCCATTTACACATGTCAAATCATTTATTTTATTTGTCAGTTTAGACTGCAAAGTCTCTTTTTGATAG